ATAAAACCTAGAGTTTGGTGTGATGTCCTGTAACGTCTCTTGTCTCTCTTGCTCCATATCTCTCCTTGTTCCAAGAATTAGAACAAAACATGAAGAAGCCCTTTCATATAGTTCCTCCTCTACATAGACTAAGATTGGCAGATGCCCATGTCCTGGAGCAGGAAATTCATTACAGCAGCAACAGAAGGGCAACAGTGGTAATATCTTATCCAATTCACTGTCCACACCCTGAACTCTGAGCAGGAGGAAGAGAACTTGACTCACCACTGACAGTCACACAGTCACACCAGAGATGTGGTAGTTGACTAGTGGTAGATGCTCCCTTTCAAGAAAATTGTTGCAACTTTTGTTTGATCACTTCCTACTACTTTGCCATGTCATCTGATCAGGCACTTGATCACATTATTGATGGACTCCATCCCCTTAAATTCATGGCTGATGAAGAGAAGGTGCACGGGAGATTCCCAGATAAGTTTATATGTGCTTTACATGCACACAGTCTACCTGAGCCTTGTCTAAAACCACCTGAAGGTCCATCAAAAACTGTGGCTGCAACATGCCTGTGCCTCCACCTCCCAGAACACATGCTGTCCCTGCTTGCCTCCATTCCCTCTATCAGTTACCAAGCCTTAGCTTTCTTTAGCTCCTAGTTTTAGCTCACGCAATGTTTAAAGGCTGCAGAAACGAGCACAACCTGCTTGGCAATGTCTGACCCCAATAAAAAGGTTTGATCAATAGAGAGGCTTATCCAGGACAGATCAATGTAGCCAAGTGGAACAGCTACTCACCTTCCTGCTGTCATAGTTTTCCTCTGAGATCACCCTGCCTTGTGACTGAGGCTTTCTATTTTGAAGCACATGGGTACAGTTCTCTCTCCAGCCATTTCAATCCTGAAACCACAGAGGGTTGTCTCACACATCACGAGACTCCTTAGGAAGTTTGCCTTCCTTTTCCTTAGCTCATACCACTAGTGGATCAACACTTTCAACCTATGAAAGCCTGTTTCTGCCTTCCACTGTCAGGGAAGACCTGGTTTTGGTGGCAGTCATAGCTTCACAGAATGGTTTGAATTGGAAGGGACCTTTAAAGATCACCTAGTTCCAACCACCTTGCCATGGGCAGGGACACCTTCCACTAGACCAGGTTGCTCAAAGCTCCATCTAACTTGGCCTTGAACACCAGCAGGGATGGGGCACCCACAATTTCTCTGGGCAAACTGTTTCAGTGTCTCATCACCTTCATCATAAAAAAAAAATATTTCTTCCTTATAGCCAATCTAAATCTATCCTAAATCAGTGCCCTGTCACTGCAGGCTCTGGTAAAAAGTCTCTCTCTGTCACCATCCAGAAGGGCCTAGGTCTTGATGGCTTGTGAATTTGTCTACTTTAGTTCCCAATAGGTTTTTCCAGAAGTTAAAATCTAAGGGTTTTGCCCTAATATTGTATTCATATTCCATCCAGCTCAAGCAATTACCCTGCCAAATGCTCTTTCTTATGTCAATGACTTATAGGGATGCAAATTTCCTGCCCGTCCTGTATGTCAGGAAGGTGTTGATGATTATTGTTTGTTGCTATTGTTTTTATCCTAAGCAGAACAGATCCTTCCAGAAAATTAATTTCTTCCACCTAGCCTCAAGCCCCAAAGCACTCCTAGTATTTCTGAGTGGGGTCCTATTTTGGCCCTGTACACCCTGGTGTGAGTTAGTACTGCTGGAGGTGACAGGCAGTGTGTACACACTGACAATCACCTGACACTGGTTGCTGACTAGCAACTGGAGCTCACTGACATATTGCAACACACCTTTCTATTTGTTTCTCTCAGCATCCCTGGAGATTCTGGAAACCACTTAGAATAGCAAGGATAAGGGGAACTGTGGAGCAGAGGATGCATCTCATTTATTTCCATGGCACTTGGTGCAAGCTGCAACAGAGTGGAGACAGCAATGTCTGCAATGAAAGTACAGCCTGCCAGCTTCTCCTGGGTGCTTGCTGTGCTTAATCCCTTCACTTCTGCAGTGTCAGGATCACCAAAATCCCCTAGGAAAGCTTTCCAGAAGCATATCCTCTTAATAACCAATCTTTTTAAAAGGTCACTCTGCCTGTAAAACGTTAACTAAACAAGTATCTGCATCTTTAAACATCTACACAACCAGAAAAAAACCACAAACCGAATGAAACAAAACACCAAAACCAAACAAAGAAAAAACCAAAGAAAAAAACCCCAATACCAATCAAACAAAAAACACAGACACACAAAACCCCAAACCAAAACAGTGCAGATTTTAGCTATGCCTGAAGAAAGCTAGAAATGGAGAGGTGCAGCCTGCTTAAACACAGCCAGTGAGTAGCTGTTGGCATCAAAGTGCCCTGGAATATGCCTCCTGCTGCCTATTCTGGGCTACCTTCTTCCCTCTGGGCTCTCCAGGCTGGGCTGAGAGCTCACTGCAGACAGGATGGACAGTAGCTACCTGTTCCTACTGTCCAGCTTTCCTGCAGACACACACCTGCATACACCAGCAGAGTGAAAATTCTGTGTGCATCACAGTTCATCCAGCAAGTTGCTTGTGTTGGGAGATGCATGTGTTTAACACCAGTTAGTCCTGAGATGCCTGTCCTAAGTGACAGTATTTTCCTGTAGTAACACAGACATGAGCTTTTCATCACACTGTGGTCTCACCTTTGCATCACAGTATGGTCTGACCTTTGCTCAGATCTTTACACTGCCTAAGTATTAAATATCCTCTTTAATGCCACAATGAAAATGAGTATGTGACAATCTTCCTCTGTGTGGCTATTTAAAGAGTAAAAATCAGCAGTACTACACACACCTCCCTGATCTGCCTTCTCCAGGACAGCACAGTATCACTGCCATGGTTCATTCACAACTTCCTGACACAGCTGCTGGGAAGACTGGCCTGGCTGAACAGAGAGCTTTGGCTGGAACTCAGGAAAAAAAGGGAGAGTCTATGACCTTTGGAAGAAGGGGTAGGCAACTCGGGAGGACTACAAGGACACTGTGAGATTATGTAGGGAGAAAATTGGAAGAAACTAGAACTTAATCTGGCTACTACCATGAAAGACATTAATGTTTCTATAAATACATTAGCAACAAAAGGAGAATCCACATCATTACTGGATGTGGGGGGGAAATGTAATAACAAAGAAGGCTGGGGCACTTGATTCTTGCTTTGCCTCAGTCTTGAATAGTAAGGCAGTTGTTCTGCAGGTACTCATCTCCCTGAGTTGGGCAACAGGGACAGGGAGCAGAATGAAACTCTCATATTCTAAGGTGAAATGGTCAGTGACTGCTACACCACTTGGACACACACGAGTCTAAGGTGTCTGAATTGGATCCACCCAAGGGTCCTGGTGGAGCTGGCATGAATGCTCACTGAGCCACTTCCAATCATTTAGCAGCAGTCCTGGAAGGTTCCAGATGACTGTCCATGTGACAATGTGAAGGGTTGGAAGGAGGATCTGGGAGACTACAGACCTGTCAGCCTGACCTCAGTGCTGGGGAAGGTCATGAAGCAGATCATCTTGAGTGCATCACATGGCATGTGCAAGACAACCAGGGGATTGGGCCTGGCCAGCATGGGTTTGTTTGTGAAAGGCAGGTCCTGCTTCACCAAACTGATCTCCATCTATGATAAAGTGGCTTAGTGGCTGAGGGAAAGGCTTTGGGTATTCTCCATCTGGTCTTTAGTTAAGTTTTAGACACCATTTCCCACAGCAATCTCCTGAAGAAAGTGGCTGCTCATGGTTTGGATGGGTGCACGGTTCACTGGGTAAAAACCAGGTTGGAAAGAGAATGGAGTTATGTCCAGCTGGTGGCTGTCACCAGTGGAGTTCCCCAGGGCTCATGTTGGGGCCAGTCTTGTTTAATATCAACAATCTGGATGAGGGGATCAAGTGCTCCCTCACCAAGTTTGTAAATGACACCAATTGGGTGGGAATGATCTGCTGGAGGAAGGTTCTGCAGAGGGATCTGGTCAGGCTGGATCAGTGGGCTAAGGCCAATGTATGAGGTTCAACAAGGTGAAGTGCTGAGTCCTGCACTTGGGTCCCAACAACCCCGTGCAGCACTGCAGGTGGGGGCAGAGTGGCTGGAAAGCTACTCAGCCGAAAAGGAGCTGGGGGTGCTGCTCAGCAGTGGCTGGACATGAGCCAGCAGTGTGCCCAGGTGGCCAAGAAGGCCAATGACATCCTGGATGTATCAGAAACAGCGTGGCCAGCAGGACAGGGCAGTGATCAGCCCCCTGTACTCAGCACTGCACCTCAAATCCTGTGTTCAGTTCTGGGCTCTCAGTGCAAGAAAGAATTGAGGCACTGGAACATGTCCAGAGAAGGGCAACAAAGCTAGTGAAGGGTCTTTGGTACAAGCCTTATGAGCTGCAACTGAGGGAGCTGGGGCTGTTTGGTCTGGAGAAAAGGAGGCTCAGAAAGGAGGCTGTAGGGAGGTGGGGGTTGATCTCCCAGGTAACACACAATTAGACAAGAGGAAATGGCTTCAAATTACATCATGGGAGGTTCAGATTGGATATTAGGGAAAATTTCTTCTCTGAAAGGGTTGTCACACATTGGAACAGGCTGCACAGGGAAGTGGTGGAGTCACCATCCCAGGAGGCATTCAGGAAAAGTGTAGATGTGGTGCTTAGGGACGAGGTTTAGTGATGGACTTGAAGTGCTGGGTTAACTGTTGGATCTTAGAGGTCTTTACCAACCTATTCTATGATTCACTGTCACCATGAAGTTTCCTGCTTAGAAATACACTGCTGCAATCAGTATCCTTCTGTGTCCAAGGTATAGCAGCAACATATATCAACATGGGGTTGAAATTGCTAACCAAGCTCAAACTAATAATAAAAAAAGAAGAAATTTTACATAATTGGGGGATTTATCTTCATTTCATGAATCTCGAGATAACACAAAGCAAGTTGCTTTGCTTGTTGTCAGCTTTAATGTAACCTTTCTGATTAACAAAATCAGACAGCAATTAAATAGTGATCAAATTAGTCTTTATTGGTTCATTATTTATAAGAAACTGTCTGGAAATAGAACCATCAAATCTTTTAACCTACAGTACCACAAAACAAAACTAACAGCACAAAGTGACAGGTTTATTGCATGATAATTGATGTGCACAGCAGAGGGACAGAACATTCTGGCACAAGCCCTTAAAAAAAGGGTACTGTAATTTTGTTTAACCAAAATTCATATTTAACAAAAAAATACAGTTTTCTGCAAAAATCTTACGCTGCCACATGCAACCCCCTGTTACTTAAGTACATCCTGTTTGGGCACTTTTAAGTTTTTCCAACGCCTCAAAATTACTTTGTACTTTTCACTTTCAGTTTTGTCAGATATTTTTTTCAAGATTATTCGCATAACTACAGCAGTTCCTGTTTCCTTATCTTCACCTAATATGAGATCCAGTGTGTCACCAACTTTCACCTGGAAACAGAAAGAGAACATGAGTGATTATAAGCATTCCCTGGGGATAACAAATTCCCACATTATAGATCCTCCAGCTATGAACTTCCAGGAAAGTCGTGGCAATAAGCAATTAAATGTCTCATGACCTTCCCTGCCAAGAGCTTTACCCTTCCTGTTATACAACCAACACCTAACTCCCTGAAAATGGTGTAATGTCTGTCTTCCTTGCCTGACGGGTGCTTCCCCCCAGTCTTTTTGTATCAACACAGACATGAACCAGCAAAATGCAAAGTTCTTCCTCCTGCCTTCAGTTTGAAAGTGTTTTGAAGAACAGAGTGCTCACCGACTGCTTGTGCTCCTCTCAAAGGTCACAGAAGCAGTGTGTGTGCTTCTGACAACCAACCTTAACTTTATGAGATCAGGAATTAAAACTTCTCATCATATTGCCCTCTGATCACAGTAACCACCACCGAGGATCACCCCCGCCTAAAGGGTGGGTACATGGGCATTGTCACCATTCTGGTGTTGTCAGAGTATGGCCTGCAACCCTTTTGGCTCTCCTGTGTTCCTGTGTGCTCTGTTACAGATACAGTAACCTTCCCTGAGCTACCTACCCCAGTTCCAACTCCTTTCCATCATCAAACTTTCTCTTTAATCATGTGCCTGCTCCCCCAGTATCTCAGATTTAATCAATCCTACTCCATTAACCTCGCGCATGTATATCATCACTTCCTCCAGCAACTCAGAACATGCTGTCCTTGCTGCCTTCCTTCTCCTGACTTTCAGCCTTGATTTGACTTTTCGACAACACAAGTCTCCCATCTGCCTTAGGGAATAATGTTTTACCCAGAGAATCAGTCACACACACCCCCAGACACACACACCCCCCAAGCTGGAAATGGTGTTAGCAATGCTATGCATTCACCTTTGCAGAGCCATTTAGAGGGAGGGAGAAGGTGGTGCCTTAGCTATTTTCATGTACTGTATTAAAAAGATTTAAATTTTAAAAAGTCTTACAGCTCTACTTTTCTTCCATAGTTTTTCTCCATTCAGCCTGAGTTCATTATTGTAGAATGCATCTTCTACTTTACTGAAGAAAAACAAGGTTTTATTGCATTTACAGTGTGTAGCAAACCAAATGCAATTGTTTCTTTGCAGATACACAGGAACATCAGTCACGTGCAAGGCCCATTTCCACAGCCCTAATTTGTGCATAAAGGACACCTACATTTAAGGTCAGGACAGATTTGAACTGAAGTAAAGAAAAAGTCTCTCATACCTATCAAATAAAAAGATAGAGTATGGTTGTTTTAGCTATTTCTAAAGATCTGTTTCCTGAATATCCAATGAGTTATGCCCCCTTCCGGCACCAGTCATCTTAGTTTTTAAGTGATCAAGTTATACTAATATTCTGTTCTAACCTCACTGCAATATAAAGCTTCTGTGGGTTGCGTTAGATCAAACACTGTGATACATTTGTAGACTGCACATTTACCTGTTGGGCCTGGTTAGGTTTATACTTACCATCACCTATTTCTCCAGCCATTATGTAGCACATTATTTTACTCCCTTGCTCTCAAATTAGATTTTTTTCTATTCCTCAGTACACTGTTTTGTGTTTTCTTCATTTTAAATAAACAGCAACTGATAGAAAATGCCTCCTCAGCAATCTTAGAAATGCTGCAGACAGCAAGAGGCAAAATCAGGCTGTTCCAAGGGATTTATAAGGGAAACAAACAGGAACACCCACACATCCAAAACCTATTTTTTAGAGAGCTACACCAAAAATCCCACCAAATACTGAACTATTCCAGCAATAAAAGTTTATCAAAAGTCAAATGTTAGATGTATGACATCTTACTCATCAGCAACTTGTTTCTTCTGTACTTACTTTCTTGCCATGTCTAGACCAGCTTTCATGATCACGTCGTATCGAAGAGAGGGCACTACTTTCTCAAGATCCTTGTAATCTTTTACTATGCTGGGGTCACTTTCTAACTCATCTTCCAAACTGCTTTCATCTTCATCCTCTTCTTCCTCTTCTTGCACAGTCTCTCTGCTCCTTTTAGAGCTTTTGCTACTTTTGTTCCGCAGAGAAAGTACTGAGAGATAATCTGGAGAAAGTCTTAGTGCACTGAGTCTGACTGGGGAAAAGTTGAAACATCTTCTGTAGGTTACTGTGCTTGCTTGACAGCTACAGAATATGCTTCTCCTCCAAGAGGGATACAGATTACTTGAGGAGAATTTCTCCCACAGTCCAAACCAGACATTTAGTTTTCTAAAAGTAGCGATGGGGAATCTGAAGCCAGTCATAGCATACCCTAAAATAAAGCAAACATTCCTACTTAAAAACGAGCAACTGCTCGGACCATTGGAAGGATTTCCCCACATATGGCATAACAGTTACTCCCAAAAGATGATTATCTGGTTTCCCACACAGCAATGCACCATCTAAAAGCACAAGGCTTTAGATGGCTTCATGATCTGCCTCTCTCATACACTGCCCACCGTCCCCAAGAGCTAAAACACCGGATGAGAAACAAACACTGAAAAATCCCAGTGGAATACTCTGCTGACCATTCCTTTTCTAGGGTTCAATATTAACCATCCAAACACATTTGTGGCACTCCCTACACCTGAAATACAACTCACAAAATAAACGGAAACGAAATTAACCATGTCCTAAAAAGCACGGGCACCTTTATCACGAGTCACTGCTCAACACTGCGAGCAAGCAAACCCAGAAATCTGCTTAACTTCACTTTCTGCTTTGACCACAACACTCCTGCACGGCAGAAAATCCACACAACATCCTCCCATTTCTCCAGATGGGAACAGACACCGTGGTGGAGCCGGGCAGAAAAACCACAGCCCTATGCACTGATACCTATCCTAGGATAGAATGGGAACTCCCCTAAAAAAAAAAAAAACACCCCACAATGCCTTTCAACGTTCTCAGAAACCCATTTACACTCCTTACTACCCAGTGCTGCCCTTTATTATGCTTTCCTATCGCTCTTTCTCGCTTCTTTTCCCAGGTCACCTCAGCCGCCATCCCAACCAGGTGAGGGTTTGCGGTTGGGGAATTATTATCGCTGGGCCACGAGCGCTGACCCAACACGAGCGGGGACAACCTGGGGCGGGT